TATTTTCATTGAGTTAAAAAGCCTGTAGATGGGAGAAAATGAATCTATAATTTCGAAAGAAATCCATACAATTTAAGAGTTGAAGGCCAAGATAGAGGTTGAAAAAGCAATTGAGGAGAAAATGGAAAAAATGAAAGAAGAGATAGTGAGACTTCAGCAAGAATGTCATGATATCCATCAACAACTTGCATCAATGAAGTTTAAAATATCTCACAAAAAGAAAAAAGATTGCTGTTGAGAGAAATAGGGTAAAGATTTTAGGATGTTTAGTGATTGTGCTTTGGTTTTTCATTACCATTGTGAGCATTGTAGTAATAATGAATGTTGTTGGTAGGAAAGTTTTAAATGTTGGCAGTTTGTAATTTAATGGAATGAAAGTTGTTATGAATATGATTGAATGAATTCAATAACATAAGATTTATGCTCGTGACTTTGTTCACTATATTTTTTATTTTGTTTAGCTTGTTGAATTTGGTTTTTTTATTTTGTTCAACCTGTTGAATTTGGTTCAACGACGTAAGATTTATGCTGCACATTGTTTAATGTAATCAAAAGGTACAAAAAGTGATCCATAAAAGAGTTCCCATTCACATGAATACTAACTTAAAGTAAGCTGCTGCACATTGTTTAAAATAAAGTTACATTACTCCCAATACAATATAACATAAAGTACTATTCCCCCTCCCAAAATTGTTCCCAAAAAATACAATCTTCATTCAGATCTAATATTACAAAAAAAAAAAGTAGAGTAGTCCAAGGGCTCATTTTCTCGTAAAAGTTCAATTCTGACATACATTAAACGTACACGCCTAATGTACACAGCCATGTGCTTTGACAGTGTACACTTCTGGTCTCTAATATTTTCCCTTCATAGCTTTTATGAAAAGTACACGCCCATGTACATGGTCATGTACCTTGACCATGTACATATCTGGTTTTGATGATGTGTTTCAATTGACGCGACTAATGAGGTACACGTTCATATACACAGGCGTGTACTTGCTCGTGTATATCTCTGGTTCTGATTATGTGCTTCAATTGATGCGACCAGCAAGGTACGCGTTTATATACATGGGCGTGTACTTGCCCGTGTATATCTCTGGTTCTTTTCTTGCTTCAATTCCCAATATTTTTTAAGCTCTCACTTCTTGATCCTTTTTACCTGTGTATATCATCTATGATTACATTAAAAGATCAAGTATAGAAGGCATTTATCATTATGCTCATGAATCTGTTCATTGTGTTTTTGATTCTGTTCAGCCTGTTAAATTTGGTTGTATTCACTACAAATACTGAACTTAGTTGATAACAATTCACAATTAATGTATTGTTATGATTTCTTATTAACTACCTCCATAAAGTGAGTGTTGCATAACAGTACCTATAAGACAGATTAGAAAATGTGTGAAAATAAGACATCAACATGCAAAACAGTGGTCACAAAATGTGCGCATGCTTCACATTATTTAATGTAATCAAAAGGTATAGAAAGTGGTCTATAAAAGGGTTCCCATTCGCATGAATACTAACTTAAAGTAAGCTACTACACATTATTTAAAATAAAGTTACATTACTCCTAATACAATATAGCATAAAGTACTATTCCCCCTCTCAAAATGGTTCCCAAAAAACACAATCTTCATTCAGATCTGGTTGGTTGACTTGGTGGAGTTGATAAAGGTGGTGGAGTTGGCCCCTTATTCAGATTTGTAGCAATGGCTTCATTCATCTCTACAGCAGTAGATATTCCCTGTGCTCTTACACTAGATCTTGTGGTTGGTTGCATACGTGGTCTTCTTGGCACCATTTTTGCCTGTAAAGGTAAATCATTAGCAATTTTACTAAAGCCATGAAATGATGAGGCTAATACATGTACCTTTTTTCAGACTGGTAAAGATGGTTGTCTATCATAAATTTCTCACCAGAGTGTAAATGGCTCACTTCAAAGTCTCCTTCCCCACCCCAACTTACTACCAAATTTCCTGACTTTTCAACCTCCCTATCTAGTCTTTTAAAGGCTTAGGCATAATCTGTCCCTTATGCACTAACTTTCTCCCTAAGGTTAGAAAACCTATTCATCAAATACATCCTTATAAACTCAAACATTGTAATAATTAGTTTATCCCTTGCAATCAGAATTATGCTGTTAAATGCTTCACTCAGATTATTCATTAGTATATCACATTTTGGGTAACTTAAAAATTTATGCTTACACCATGCTCTCCTATCCAGATTAAATAGCCACCAGTAGGCAGCCTCATTCAAATCTTTGATCTGCTGCATGTAAGCCCTCCAAAGCTATTCATATGTTACTTTGGCAGCACCCATCATGAGATCTCTTAGTTGCAGTCCTCCTCGAAACTTCTTCTTAAAATTGTTGTATAAGTGCCTCAAATAGAATCTATGCTCAACAGGAACAGAAAATTCTTCAAACACTTGCATCAAGTTCTGTCAAAAATGAACTAGAAACTCAGCAAAAATATTTAATGAAAATGAACCAACATCTCAAAACGAACCAACATCTGAAAATAGACACTTACCTTTTGTTGGTCACTCATAAAGACCCACTTATTTTTCTCAATGGAGCCAATATCTTCTAAGAGCAAATTTAAAAATCATCTCCAAGTATCTTTTGTCTCAGTTTCCACCATAGCAAAAGTCAAAGGAAGGTATTGATCATTTGAGTCTCTCCTAACAGCAATCAAAAGCTAGCCACCAAATTTTTTTTTGAAGTGACAACCATCCACCCCTATCAATGGCTGACATGCCTTCTTAAAGGCTAATTTTAGACCTTTAAGGCACATGTAGAAACTCTCAAACCTAGGCAAAATCTCCAAAGGAGGCCTAAAAATCCTGATCACACAAGTATTTCCTGCACTTCTTTGTTTAAGTTCAGTTGCATATCTCCACAGTAGTTCATACTGTTTGTGAATGTCACCATCAATCACACTTTTTTTCATCTTATTGTGAATGCTCTTGACAGTGTTATCCCAGTAGAATAGTTGGATTTAATTTCTCCAACAATATCCTTTAATGCAATGTTAGTAGTCCCAGCCTTCATCTTGTTAATCAAAACCTTGGCAACCCAAGTTGACTTCGCACTCTTATTGTGGAAGACCCTTCCACATGTTTGTTTGTCAACCAGAGTGTTCAGCCTATAAGTCTTTTGAATTGCTGACCTTACTAACATACACAGAGTATTCAACATAATGCCTACATCTTGCCCTTGCCTTTCTCTTGTCATTCAAATCGAATCTGATTTCTTTTCCATTCAGCACATTGTACTCTTGAATTGTATCCTTAAACTCCTTGATGGAACCAAACTTCAAACCCAACTTCCACGTGTAATCCTTATTCAACTCATCAGCATTAAATTTGGAATATTTCCTTCTGTAACCATCTTCCTCAGAGTCACGACTGAGCAGTTCTTACACTTGCATAACCATGATCAATGTCATTTGCTTGTATTTCTTGTGCCTTATAAAAATTATCTGCATTGTGTAAACCTTGACTACTCTGACAAAAAATATTCTCTTTTTGATTGCCTCTTCCTAGTAGCCTTTTTTTTTTTTCACCTCCAGGTTTCTCAACAGCAGCAGTCCCATCATCATCCCCACCCCCAACACCTGCAACACCACCACCAACAACCATCCTTTTTCTAAACTGACCATCACTCTGAAGCGCTTGGTAAGTCTCCTTCAGGTGTCGACTTTTCAATAGAATCTTCATCCCCAGAAATCCAGACAACCTCTACACGAACATTGACTTTGTCAGGCTGAAGAACACTCTGAGCAACATCTACCTCCTCAGCCTCAACATCTTCATTCACTTTCTTTGCAAATGACTTCTTCCTTCTACCTTTTACTCACCCAAATTCTAGAATGTCTCTATCAAATCCATCATCTATGTCACCAGCCCTATCTTCCTCACTTTCATCTAAATGAATTTCATTTAGAGATTTCTCCTCACTACTGGAAAAATTGTCTCCAACAACACCCTCATTGCCTCCTTCATAAACAACATATATTTCAACCTCCACACTGTTACACATGGCAAAATTAGCCATGTCCAAGGCTACACTATCACAATTGATTTCTTTGAAGTCAGAAGGACCAAATTTCTACCATATTCTCATAGGGTACTCTCCGTAACTTAAGTCTTCTTTTAAAATTCCAAGTGCTTCAAAGTACGATCACCTGTTCATATCAATATTCTTCACATGAACAACCTCTTTGCTCCCAACATAGTGCATCACGAGGTCCAATTCAAAATGACTCTCGTGATGAATTATAGCATTGAAAGCCATCTACATAGAAAAAGGAGCAAATATTTGTGTCAAGGAAAGCAAAAATTTATGATAAAAAATCCTAACTCGCAATAATCTAATCAAATAACACTTACCTTCAACAATGTTGACAATATTCACAATGAAATGTCGCCTCTCGTAACAACCACGGTGCTTGGGAAGCAAGGGAAAAACAACAACGTCGATATTTTTCGAAAACGAAAAACAGCAAAGGTGAAAATGAAGATGAAAAACAAACTACAATAAAGGGTTCAACGATTTTTTACTTGTTATTTGAAAATATTTCACTTGAAGATCAAGATTAAATAACTGTTTAATAGTAGTTTAAACTTTTCTTCTTCAACATTTTCACACTGTACACTTAAATTTCTATTTTTTTATTTTTTTTATTTTTTTAAATTCAAAAAATACTAATGTAAAATCCTGACGTAGTAATTTAATGATGAGGTGAATGAGATAGATCGACGGTGATGTGACAAACTGTTAGTCACGTCACCATTTAACTGATAGAGATTAATGTTAGATATACAATTAAAAAAAAATAGTTAGACATTAAAATAAAAAAAATTTATGCAATAATTTTTTGAAATTAACCCTATTTGGAGGTAGTTAAAAGATATTTAAACCTTTAATTTAATTCCTTCAAACATTAAAAGGAGAAGAAACCTAAGCGACAGTAGGTATCAAAGATTAAAGAAAAAGAGCAACTCGAACTCCGTTATAAGAATTAAGTAATCTCCGCTACATGTTTAACTGTTACTGAAACTAGAGAAACTACACCTGACGAATCAAAATAATTTTACGGACCCATGTTTTACCACCACCTATATACAAGAAAGAACATACCACGAAAACAAAAATCATAAACATCTCCAAGAAGCACCTCATCTTTCACCTGTTACAGCACTGGATTCAGTCACCTATCTCAGATATTGTCCTTTAACTGCCAAAGAGAGAAACCAGCATTTATAACGAGGACAATCAATATAGCAAATGGAAAGAAACCCTGCTACTCTACACTAATGGAAGCAGCACAATTGCCAGTCCGTCTCCTAAGCCTCCAAGATAGGAAAGCCCGAGAAGCTTCATCCATGGCAGCCAAGTTCTCAGCCACTTCTTAACATAATCTCCTACATCCGATCAATTGGTTCAGTGCGATCCTGCACAGCAAGCCCTTCGGAGACATCAGCAAGTGATTTGAGATTGCACTTTATTAAGGCTTCAACGAAGTAGCAGGTCTCATCTTTGGTGTTCCCCTCAGGTATATCCACGACAAAAGATTCAATTACCAGTGTACCTGGCCTTCCATCAATAATTTCTGGGTGGAGGGACATGATAGACGAGTAGTTCTGAAAGATAAAGATACAACCTAAATTAGAAGACCATTTTTTTTTGTGAGGTGCGGAGGACAAGATAGTTAAATTATTTAGTCCAACTTAGTATGCCCAACCAAACAAAATTCACAGTTACTCATTCTGGAAGCAATTCTCATTACATATCTCTGCAGGAACATCATTTATTACAGGAAGTAAATTATAAATTAAACTGACAGAAAGAACCTAACTTTCACAAAAACAGCTATTTTCTGTAAACTAAAAGGTTGAGCCGGACTTGAAATATAAATTAAACTGAAACCATGCAATAAAAATCAATATACATTAAGTAATAGTTACAAAACGAAAAAGACAAAAGGATTATTCCATAACTTCAGAATTTGATTTGGAAAACCTACCATAAATGAGAACTCTAATAAGACGTCACATGCATCAGCAGCATAGTCAAGCAACTCAAGCCAACTTACCCCAGAAAGAGAAAGACAAATTTATAAGCAGATTCCCTCACCCCCAAAGAAAATAGTGTTTACAATGTTTGTTAGAGCTGAAATTGTTCATCCTCTTGCAAGAATATAATGAATATTAGAAAGAAGACTGTAGTAGCATCATTCAGCACCTTGCCTCAAGCGAGCAATTGATCACATTAATATGAATGGAACAAAGGACGCACAACAAATCAGCTTATAAAAGGCCCCAATGATAGCATCAACATCAGAGTTATAAAGTAGAGATCTTTTAAGCTTCTGAATAGAAAAAAATGACAGTTGCCTACCTTCCTTCTAATTGATGTGAAGCTGAAGCCCACCTCACACATATAAATATATATAATTAAATTAGCAGACAAGATCAAACATAATATAAGGATAGAAGTGCAGAGAAGAGTGCCGACTTCAAGGCACACGAATGATTTTGTAAAGAATAATTTAAAAATAACTGATTTGTTGTAAGGATATATTCATACCCTTAGTCTATGATCACCACCAATAATCCTGATGCTGAGAATATGCTCATTGTCATCAAGGAGCTCCAATCTTTCTGTACTTGTAGTGGCAGGAAGCCCTGATTTAACATCAACTTCTCTCAGACTCCCAATCTCAAGGTTTCCCCTTACAACACATCTACTTACAAATGGCTTGTACTTCTGTGGCTGATCAAACCTCCTCACCAAGGACCATACCTAGAAATAGTAAATCTATGCACGATAAATAAACATAAACAATTCACACAGGCAGGGTAAGAGCATAATCATTCAGGCAATCTCTATCAAAAATATTTCTGCATTATACAAATTACAAAGTATTGTCAAGAAAAACACAAAATTCTATGTTCTAAAACAGTAGCCGTGAGGAAGAGAAAATAGAACGAAATTTGGTTCACTTTGTACTTGGTAATTTTCATAGTTGACCTTCACGCAAAAAGGTAATGATTCCACTATTGAAATCAGCTTTTGCGGCAACCATATCAAAGTTGATTGGACCTTCAACAATCTAAATTGCACAATTTAAAGTACCTTGCAAATACCCCCGCCTCGCTTCCTCTCAAAAAAGAATAATAACAGTAATAAATTTGTTTAATCAATCAAAAAACAAAAGTTGTACGGCAAGATTATTACAAGTGTGAAAAGACAGGAATTGATACTTCTTGTTGGTTGCTGAAATAGAGTAAGAAGAGAAGTAATCAGAGTCCAAATTAATGAATTGTAACTGCTCCCTACCACGACGATCAATGAGATCTAGAATATACATTTCACTAAAATCACACTAACTAGATTTTCAATCTTCGACAACAAATATGTACACGTTTTTTCTTGGGAAATAACAATTTTCCCTCTCAAAAGCTCCGTAGGAAGCTGGAAAAGAAAAACCAACTAAATTTCCAACATGCATTAGATCATCTCCCACTTAAGTTCCAAACATAAATATTTTTTGCCGAAGCCTATAAAGCAGGATCAGACCAAATGGTATTGAGAAGCAGGTCAAATAACAAAAACAGCACAGAACAAGTTCAAACGCCCCCAACCAAATCAGCTGAGCATAAAAGCATAAGCTTCACATCCAATCAAATCTCTACTTCCCAACAAGTAAGCAAATAAAAAAATCTACAAACACAAAAATTAATCCCACAAAACTGCAAAAACCTTCCAAATCAAACTCAAAACAATATCACCATTAAAAGACACGTAGATACACACACATTCCAACAACCGTTACGACCATCTAACCGGATCACAATGATGCATGCAAAAACAAAAATGTTCACACACAAGCGAATAACAGAATCGCACAACGATTCAATACATCATTAAAAAATACAAATTTTTTTAAAAAAATTGACCTGAGGAACTGGTGCTCTTATATGCTTAACGAGCGCAGAGCTACACTGATTCTCACCAGGTTCGTGCCTGTGGTGTCTTCTTATGTGCTCCATCTCCACGCTGCTCAATCCTCCATTCCCAGTCCCATTCATTTTGCTCCTTTCTCTTCAACGCAAACGCCAAAATACAAAACGCACCGTTTTCAATTTGTATTCTTCACAACCGCCAACGCCAACATGAAACTAAGATGCCGAATCGATCGGCGCCGACAAGCTCCGACACCGTCCGGCTAGGTTCTCCGGCGAGAAAAGCGTGTGAGTTTTGGGGCAATAAAAAAGAAGAAGATGCGCGTAAGAGTCAGAGTCACCGCCACGGATCATGGAAAGGAAACTATTGCTACCGAAGCTCTTATTATTATCCCAGATAAATAATAAAAAATTAAATCATAAAATATATAACATAAAGAAGACAACGTCTGAATTAAATTAATTTTCAAGAAATATGTATTTATTTTTCAGAAAAATTTCACAAAAAACCATAAGAAATTAATTATATTTTAAAATAAGATGTATTTACAAACATTGAGTATTCCGCTAACTTAAGTTAAGTGGTGTAGAATTATTGTATAAAATATAATTATGTTCATAAGTTTTTAATGTAATTATATTTTTAAGGACTCAATCTTGTAAATAATTGTTATAAAAAAATTAAATTAAGGTAGAATAATTTTCAATTCATTAATTTATGCGGTTGGTGGTGATTTATTGTTTATTTGATTATAAAAGTTAAATATCTTTGGTAAAAATTATTTGTCTCTTTCTTTGTTTCAAAATGGCCCCCACTTAGTGCTATTATTACAAACTAACAATCTGATTGTCCATTTGCGTTAGTGTCGTTTTCGTGACCAAAATGCCCTTCCCAGCATCATCTATTTGCGTCCGTCTTTTTATAGATATTTTATTTAATCAAATCTTACCTGACTTAGGTTCGATTTTGATTTAAGTAAAATAAATTTAAGAGGAATTAACAACAAAATAATTATTTTAAAAATAATGCATAAATAATATTTTATGATTTTTGTGAAAGTAATGCATAAATAATAATTTTTTATATTACATAAATAATATTTTTAACCAAGCATCGTTTAACTCCTCCTCCAAGATAAAAAAAATTATTTAAATAAATTTTACCTGATTTATATTATTTTAAAAATTAATAAAAAAGAATCAGACAAAATGATTTGATACGTATACTAAATTTGGTATCAATCTTAAAAAGTCGGGTCCTTACAATGTAAGAGTATAAACGAATGAATAATTTTTTAATTTAATAATTAATATTACTCTAATCTTATTTATAAAAAATAAATATTTGATTTATTAAAATTAATAAAAAATTAATTTTCTGTGATAATTTCTTTTCAAATTATTTGATCAAATTGAGATTTTATATATTAAATAAATAAATATATTTATTTGTTTAAAGAAAAATGTAAGTAATATATTTTTAATTATTGACTAAAATTTATTAAAAATTATAAAAGTACAAGAGAAAAATATTAAATAAGAAATAAGAAAGAGAGAAATTCATATAATTTTTGTAATTTTTGATAAATTTTAACTAATAACTAAAAGTATATTAAAAAGAAGAGTTAGATGATAAATATACAATACAGTAGATTTATAAAATTTAAGCTTAATTATGTTTTTGGTCCCTGTAAATATAGATTTTTTTGTGATTAGTTCCTACAAATATTTTTGTTAGGAAGTCGTCCTTTTAAAGTTGGTAATTTAGGAATTTGTCCCAATCGTTAATCCTTTCTCTATTAAGTGTTGAGCTGGCTGATAGAGAGCCAGCTCAACACTCCACGTGGTGCCACGTGGCCGTCTTGAGGCCCAGTCACAGCCTACGTGGCATGTCACGTCATTTATTATTTAAAATTAAAATTTACAAATAAACCCTTGAACCTATTTTATATAATGTATAAAAATTCTTTTAACTTTCTTTCTTTCTACTCCACAGTCCCTCCCCCTCCCTTGTAACCCCTTTCAAGCACCTCTTCTTCCCTTCCCCTTCCCCTTCTCTTTCCCTTTTCCCCTCCCCTTTTTCCTCTAACAAATAGTGCATACTCACTAAAAAAAATACATACTTACTCTCAAAGCTTCCACGCTTTCTCCTGGTAGATGCTGGTCCATTTCTAACTGCATTGCCCCTTGATATGACATATACTTCTCAACACATTGTAGACCCATAAGATCACCCGAACATAAATACATTTCAAATGACCTTAACTCTACCGAATTTGAACCATCAACAACAAATTGTTCATTGTCTTCGTAATAGGACATAAAGCACCAATTTTTCAAATCAGCAGTAAAAGGATGCCACTGAAAACTATCACCTGATCTCAAAGTAGATAGAATGAATGAGACACGAGACCCAAAAGTCAAAAGACCAAAATTTTGAAACACCCAAAATTAAGATACACAGATTTAAGAACCCAAAAACATGGAAAATTAAAATGAAGAAAAAAAGATAATTAATAAATAATATACGCTTATTTTTTTTTTTGGATTATATTATATAACTAATCCAAAATGAACTTTTTAAGGAATCTCATATATACCTGTTGGCTTGAAAAGCTAGCAAACATAGTGAATGGTGAAAGCGTGTTGGTGTGGTCATGAATAGAATCCATAACGAGTCTTAAGCTTCACGTTTTCACTGTCCTTGATGGGCTCTCACTCGACGAATGAGTCGAGCCTTGAAGGTTGGGTTAAAGCATGTATGTGACCGGTCACCCCTACCCCTACCCCCACCCCCACCCCCACCCTAACCCTAACCCTAAACCCCAACCCCTTCCCCTCACCTCACTCCAATCGGCATCCTCATCCCCTCCTCAATGCAGTTACAAGCTAGTTTAAATAACATATATACATGAAAGTCAGGGTATTGTTAGCTTACTTCACCTAATGCCAAGGAACTGATTTAATAAATATCAATATTGCCACACCATATATCAAGAAAGGGGTGAAGGTTGAGGAAGAGTTAGCCAATAGGAAAGGGGGTGTTCGGTAACCATACATCAAGAAAAAGGTGAGGGTAGGGGAAGAGTGGGTTTTGTTAACAAGAAAGAGATAAGAGAAGAAGATGGACCTTTTTACAATTGTGTAAAAGTATGTTCAAGGACTTATTTGCAATTATATAATTTTAAATTAAAAAAATAAAAAAAATTAAATGATGTGGCATACCACGTGGTGCCTCATGGAGTGCTGAGCTGACTCTCCATTAGCCAGCTCAGCATTTAATAGAGAGGAGGTTAACGATAGAGACTAATTTCTAAATTACCAACTTTAGAAGGACGACTTAACAAAAATATTTGTAGGGACTAATAACAAAACGACCAATATTTATAGGGTACAAAAACAAAATTAAGTCTAAAGTTTATTATGCAAACATTTAGAAGAAATTGATGAAAAATGCATGAAAATAATGCATTATTATTTAACGTTTTACTTAATGATTGAAAAGAAGAGAAATTCACTTAAAAAATAATTTTTTTAATTAAATTCATAATTTTTTAAAATATTTTTTTAGGTTGAAAATCATAAGACAAAAATTTAAATGTTTTAAGTGAAGTTTGAAGACATATATCAATTGGAATGGAAAAAAAGAATTCTTGAAAAGAACTTAGGCAAAAATAAATTTGACCTACCATCAGGATACCCATCACAATGCTTAGAGAACAATGAAAATTAAAATGTTACATAGTTTTGAGCATTCCAACATCCGTTGCTCAAAAAGTTAAAGAATGTGCATGTTCTAATGCCCAACATAATCCAAAATCTATACATGAACATTATTATAGGATTCATTTTTAGATTTCTTTATCATTTTCTAACTTTCTACTTTTTGTTTTGAGATTCTTTCTTAGTTTTCTCTCAATTTTATTCTAATCTTAGATCTTTGAGATATTTGTTTGTCTATTGAGACATCTTTATTTTCAATAGGTATTTTTTAATGTCATCCCATTTCTAGTGAGTAAGGAATAAATTAAAACATTTATCAACTACTCAATTCCAAATGAATACACATCAACATGCTTAATATATATAAATACATAAAGTATGTCCTAAAACAGAAGGTTTAGAGTACATAATATAATATTACATACCATCTAAATTGTTTTTCAAATTATTTAACTATGAAACATTATAGGGAAAGATAACCATCCACGGAAGTATACAACACATAATACATAAAACTAAACTTCTCCTATCCTCTTAACTCCTTCCTCATTCATCCAACCCCTCTAGAGGAGGATCGAGATTAATGCTAAAGTATGCAGCTGCATGGCAGAGAGGAAAAGGTACCTCAACTCATTATGCATCCATATACATATTGGACACATCACAGAAAAAGATAGGGATGAGTACAAATATTCATAAACAATCTAATAGGTAATACTCATGTTTAAAATGTAACACCGTGAATTTTGTAATATTAATTATTGTTAATTATATAAATCTAAATGTATATATATGTGTATATTTTTTTAGATATATGTTGTGAATATGTGTGTATATATATATGTGTATGCATGACTAGTTGGACTGAAAATGGGCTAAGTGCCCAAGTGCAGAGTGTAATTCTGGGCTGTCCTCGCTGCAGCGAGAGGGCCCCTGGGAGGAAGGACCAAAACTGTCGCCTTCTTGCTGTAGCCAGAGTGTTACAACTAGAAAAAGGATTTAAGGGGGGTTAGGGTTCGGGGAGGGTTATTTCTCCCTCTCCCTTTGAAGTTCCTTGGATCCTCTCATTCTCAAACCCTTTTTCACCGATTAAATTGCCTCCAAAGCCGTTTGAAAGCTTGATTGAAGGTTAAATCCGTGTGGGAAACACTTGAAGGTGAGTTTTAATGGTTAGGGTGTCGTTTATCATCTCCTTTTCTCTGTTTCTGGATTTTCTTGGGTTCTCATGGAGTTCTTCCATGTGTTTTAGGCCGAAATCTATGTAGGGAGCACGTCTTTGTGCATGAATTGTTGTTATTTTGCTGAATATTGTGTTGTGACTGAGTTAGTGGGTAGAAAATTGCTGAGAAATGTAATATGGGCCGTGTGTTGTGATATGTAAACATTATGTGTGTTTACCCGAAATTGATGGATGTGGATTGTATGTAAATGTTGTGTGATAGAATGAAGGCATGTATGCCGAGTGTTGTGAATGGATATGGGCACTTGTGCTGTATATTTGAATGAATATTTTGAAAATACTGGCCCAAGGGCCATGTAATATGAACGATAATTGTAGGTTACATGCCGTGTGCTGTGAAATGGAATATAGGCTGTGTGCCATGTGTAAGCATGATTACTGCATGCGTGAATGTAATATGTGTGAATAAGCGTGTTAGCGCTGTTGTAATGTGCTGTGAATGGTTCAGCGATACACTGAGGATGTGGAAGATGAGGACGGTAGAAATACCTTGGGGAAGAGGGAGTGGTGCTGACACCGACTGTGGAACGGGTGCACCACGACCCACATACTTTCTTTCTGACTAGACCTCTGACCACTATCTTTGCTGAGCGACCCGTGACTGCCCACGTGGTATTCGTGAGGCGAGGGTAACCGACGACTATTCATAGTGAAAATCTGTGATCACAGTGCCACAGTGGATGTGGTTGGCGTGCGTGCGCATGGGATTATTGTTAATTGTATTTTTGAATGTGAAATGTTGTTAGTGTCGTGAGTGCATCGATATTAAATGATAATGTTGTCTGTGTTTGTTTCTGCATAAATGTATTGAATTTGATTTAGAGGTGAGACTCTATGCCCAGTTGTGTGTTTTGGTAGTGTAGAGTACTCACCCTTACATTCCTTTTTCAGGTAACCAAGACGATCAGCACCAGACTCAGTGAAAGGGGTGGATGGAACTGCTATAGGACTAGGATATAAATTTGAAAATAATGTATTTAAAAGGGTCCTATAGTAGTGCTTGATGATGATTGTAACTCCTTTTTCTTATTTTGAAATATTTGATGAAACCATGGTTTGAGAACTTTATTTGAAATGGAACTTTTATTATCCTGAATTTGTGAAATTATTATTTAATAAATATTGAAAATAAGGTGTTACATAAAAGAATAAAGCGTCATTTAGACATCAACGATACTAAGCATTAAACAATATATTTGCTTAAATGAACGAAACAACATTCAAGCATCAAGCAATAATCATTCAATGTCTTTTGTTTGTGAGTTCTCCACGGAGTAATTAATTAATTATCCAACATTTTAATTTCAGGTTAAGATTGGGAGTTCTATGTCTACAATCCAGCTAATGTCATAGGTACATCTTCTTTTATCGGAGATAGAACATAAGTGCACAATTCTCATTTTATGATCACTACCGCCCACACTCCATCCAATATTGGTATGTTTTAGTGCCTGTCAGGATAGGCTAGCAAAATTTTCACCGCCTACGACACAAGTTAATTAGATTTGGTCCTCTGTAAATCTTGGGTACTCTCCTATCCCCTGTAGTCAGACCAACACTATTTGCTCCTCGCCTGTACTATAGCGTATTCAACTTCTTTCACAATAACAAATACAAATACAACAATTTCATAGCCAATAGTTGTCGAACAGGTACATTATAACATTTCTATTTCAAGAGAGTAATTAATCACATGGACATGGCTATCAATCAGAAATTTTTAGATTTCATGAAGCAACTTGTAAAATTCATAACTAATCCAATACAAGTCCAAACATCATAAAATCACCAAGGCTTTCTACCTTTAAATGTCTACTACTATAATATAAAATTACAATAAAAATTCAAACACTTCCAGAAAATTCATTAAACCTCAATTTATTTCTATTGTTCTCAGATTAATTCACTAAACAGCCAGCAAATTAAAAAATTTGTAATAAATTCATTTCTCATACAAAACACATGAAACTAGTGAGGTTATTCTCCTTAACATGTCTATTTTCATGTAAAAATACTTCCAAAATTAAATTATTCACAGACATTAATTCGTGCTTTAGTTTCATAGTTTATGTCACATATTGGAAACATCATAAACCATTCAATTCATCACCAAAACTCATAAAATCAGTGGCATTCTTTCACTTCGGTTATCTAGTTTTACATAAAAATATAAATAAAAATTTATATTTTGAAAATTTCAGAATTTATCTCCTTCATTTGCTTTGTTTCATAAAGTCACACTAGTAGAGGTTAAACTTTCAAATACTTTTGTAATAGTTGCAGATATTAGTTGAACAATTATTATTATTATTATTTTTAATATTGCATTGTGTGTTGCAATCACAAAATTGACTAAATCTTATAATTGCAAATTAATGTCGATTCATGTCTCATTCAAGACCTCAATACTTTGAGGATGACGGACCATGCTAATGTCAAACACAACTTTTATATATTGGATGATAATGTTACTTGTTTTCTAATTTTTTATTTATAATTTTGTGAATACAAATACAAATATATTTAGTATAATTTATTTGTCAAATTTTAGATTAGAATTAATTTAGTTAGTAAATCTTTTATTTTTTTCTCAATATACTATGAATTTGACTTAATTACTAGATTTTTTATGCAATTAGATTCAATATTCAAATGTAGAAATGTGATTTACTTCTTCTAATACATGGAGTATACCATTAGCATAGCATTTTTTTTAATGATATTTTTCATAAATAAATTTTAATTTTAATTTCTAAAATATGCATCGTAACTAAAGTTAGTCTTCTAAATTTAAAACTTGAAAATTTAATATATGAAATTAACAATTATCAATTACTTTAGTTATTGTCATTAAAATATGTTAAAATTGAGTAATACAGTTATGATTTGTCACATTAAACGACATGTAGGATACAAACCAATATTGTTTTAAGATATTTTAGAATAATTCACTTTCATCCCTGATTTTTGAATTTTTTGAGTGAAATGATCACTTTGTCTTCTTCCCTTCTTTTATTTGGTGTCTTCTTTGACCATCTCCTTTGACTCCAACTACCACAAACTGCCCTCCTATTGTGGTTGTCACCTTTGTTTGGCCAAAACACCACTAACCCTCTTCCTTTCTCACTTCCAAGCCTCGCACCATAAGTTACTATACTATCATTAACGTCTTCTTTGTCATTTTTTTCATCTTCAACCACTACAAACAACCCAACCCCCTATTTTTCAATGTCGCCATCATTTGGCCAAAACATTATTAACCATAACAAAGTTGTTTAGAGGTGAACATCATTGCTATAGTGGTTGAAAAAGAAGAGGAAAGTGTCTTAAAAATCTAAAAATAAAAAGACAAAAATAAACCATTTTTAAAAATTCTTAAAACACACTCAATATGACAATCATTACTTTGTTATTAAATTTTTATATTTCTTAATAATAAAGACTAAATTGATTAATAATTATTAATTTTATGGGTTAACATTTAACATTTTAATTTTAAAAAATTGATTTAAACAATGTTGCATATTTTAGAGAATGAAGTAGAAGTTTACTTTTTTTTTACAAATCTTTGTTCATGAAAAAAGAAATAAAGATGAAAGTAAGACTGCATTAAAACTGAATATTTTTCTTTTATTAACTAAAAAAACATTAAGACTTTGTAAAATTCATTTTGCTTTCTTGGTTTGTTTTATTTATTTCAAGGTATAAACATTGTTTTTTGTGATTCCTTTTCTACGGGTCAAACTAAACTAACCTAACCGTACATCTCAAAATTGATCGATCGTCCCAAGTATACAAAGAGTTTTGCTCCCACTTTTGAAAATTATACCATTTTACTGAAAAAATATAACTCTAGATCACAGAATGATCGATACTGGTAGGTTGGTTATAATTTTTTCGCCTTGATTTAAGTATTAATCAAACATCACTTGTAAACGGTTAGGTAAAAAAAATTGCGGGAACAATTTGTCTAATCATTTAGCTTGTCGAAGATGAAAACTTCGTTTAAGGTATACCGATACCTATATGAATAACGAGTCTCAAAATTATACAGCTAAACCCAAAATGCTGTAATCCCTTCCGTCCAATTATGAGACCAAAAAGCACTATGAATTGTCCGGGTCAGGCTTACAAAATCGAGTAACCTATGAGTATATTTTTCACCAATCTTGGATTTAATTTCTTAAGCCTATTTGCATCATCAGTCACGTTACTTTCTATACTGTGCAGGGTCAACTATCATCCTTGTCTAACATATCTACCCTACTAGGGTTTGAAGCATTCTCTCCCTTAATAGAAGCATGTTTTTCAGGTGAATCCGCCAAAGTGTCTTCCTTTGATTTTCCAACATTATCCAATGCCTCGTTAGCTTCAGTTGTCTGATGGAGGTCTAAAGGAGTAGCTGCTGGATCCAACTCTCGACAGCCCTTCAGAGCATTATGAGCTTCTTGCCCCGTAAGCAAGTAATTAGGAACCTGATGAGAGAAGCGAAACAACTCCGCTTTAGGAATCTTCCTAACTTGATCATGGCTCTGCCTGTGAAACACAGTCCTAAAACCATCAACCTTAACAAGAGGCGTCACCGATACTCCTTCCTCTTCATTGAAATCTTCAAGCACCTCCACCATATCATACTTGTGTATCACTTCATCTGGAGTATTTTCGTTCCAATCAGGAGACCAGTTTCTATAGAGAGCCCAGACTTGCCCCATTCCAGGAAAGATGCGTACAACTCCTCTAGTGCCTTTAGTCCACCTTACCTTGTGTGAAAAGGAATTTAATGATTCAGTTATTTCATGCCTGCCAATCCTGAAATCCCCGCAGGTTTTGCAAAAACCAGAACCTATCCAATCTATTGGGCCCAATTCAGTGTTGCTTCGAGAGTTAAGCCAACTGATTCGCATTCTAAATGGCTTTGTCAAGATCACCTTGTGAATTCTAGCATAATATCGAGGCATTCCGTCATCATCATCGTAAGAAGCCCAGACCTGGTCCTCCTCGAAGGAATTTTCAGTTCTATCCAAGTCAAAATTGTGAAAATCAGGATCTGGAACATGGATCATAACATAGGACTGGTTCTCCTTTACAGCAGCATCAGACGTGACTGGAATTGAATCACTGTCTACGTGCCTGTTACCATTAATAGTGGAACCTCCATCTGGACCAGTTGTTTTGTCATTAAGTGTGCTTTTCTGTCCCTTATTTCCTTTGTCTTTATTTGTAATCTTAGCTTCAGGCATTGATCTCCATTCTTGAAGTTTCTTGCCAATTTCAGTCAGTGCCTTATCAATCAACATGTTTCGTAATTCAAACAATGACATCTCTCTCGTGCTGTAATGCTTGCTACTCATTCCTGAAAAACCATGATTCCTTTCTGTTCCCATGTCAGCTTTTCCCGATTCATAAAACCGTCCCAAACTGTTTGATCCATCTTTCATGGTCATATGATTTGCCATGTACATGTGAATATCATCTGTCCTTATTTTCTTAACAGGTTTTTCAATGTTACTAAAAGAACCATCAGACCTCTTAGACATATGATTCCTCTTCCATGCAGCAGTTGATGGGACTTTGTTGCATTCTCTTCTTATCTCACTTGAGTGCTGCTTAACACTTGCAGTAGCAACAGATGATGGTCCATCTGTGCTAAAAAAACCTGCCATTCTAGAGTGAGAACCCCACTGGAAGTTTGCATTATTTAAAGAAGTCGTGCATCTAGAACTGGATTGTAAATTTTGAAAAAATGCACTAGTTCTTCCTGGATTCACAGAGTGATTCCTTCCAGCACTGGAATGTTGCTGAGAAGAAGACTTCTGAGGATGCTGCCCGGAAGACCATTTAGATGACTTAACAACATTGAGAGGTGGACCCTTCTCTATAGCCACAAAAGCTTCATTGCAACTGGGACATAAAAGGGTATGATTCAAATAAATCCTGAGATACTCGTAATGTGTTCTGCACTGATTACAGATAGTCCAAAAAGTAGCAGCCTTTTTATGTGGAGGGATGGAGGATGGATGTGCCTGTGCATTATTATTTCCGGTTTGAGCACTTGAAGTTGAATTCTTGTTAGGTTTGCAAAATCCATTCGAACTGCATGCTTCTGATTGAGATCCAACATGCTTGGGAGTATTGTGCTGAAATCCTTCTGAACTCCTTTTCTGGTTATATGCTATTCTCTTGACCTTATCTGATAGTAAACTCCATGCCTCTGAAACAAGCTTAAATGCACCCTCTGCACCAATAGACTTGTTTTTGTCAGGGTGAAGAGTGAGAACCAGCTTTCTGTACTGTTTCCTAACTGTGTCTTCATCAGCAAAGGGATTCACTCCAAGTATACCATACCAATCCATTTCTCCATTTATTTTATTCTCAGCAGAAATATAAACCTCAAGAGTTGTAAGAAACTGGGAAAGACCCTCCAGTGCAGGATACAAATTTAAAGCCTTGAGAGCAAACTTTTTTGAACCAGCATATTCCCTTACAGAAAATTTCCTCTCTGCTATTTCTTTGGCCCTAGCTGCCTCATCTTTGTTGCATTCCATATTTTCCCAGTTGCCTCAACTATTAATATGTTGCTTCCTCACATTGCTGAAGACAAAAGAATTTAACCATCAGTTGTGGATTCTATAAAGCCTTAGTTTGGTGACCTTCAATCATGCACCAGACTCAAAGGAAAACAAACACGAAACATGCCACTAGTAAGATTCAAGTAGTGGATCAACAATTATAAGTAAAAAAGCATTTCAAAGTTAAGTGTCACGGATATCCCAAACTAGCAATTAAAAAACCTATGGTGTAAGCAATTCAACATTTCTCACCATCTAGAATAAGACCCATGGTCAAGTTTTCCAATACAACTTTTTAATATAAATTTTTTCCTAATGACATGTATTTATTATGCAAACAAATCTAGTTTAAAGATCTTTGAATGATAATGATCTTTTCAGATAAATGTGTTGCTTGTGCATACTTAAACGTCTTGGAAAATAAATGAATACTGAAAGTATTCCATTTTTTCCATCTAAATATCTTGAAAAGTCAATCCCTACTCAACAATCACCAAAAACTAATCACCAAAAGGAAAGTTTTCAAAACTTTATTGAACTCCAACAGTCAGAGACATTGGACACAAATCCAAACTGAAGTTTCCAAAAGAATGGAGTAAAAAGAAAATGACACCAAAATTTATTAAATTGAAACATCAATATGTTATGCACCATACATCACAATTCTGACATTTTGACAAACCTTGAAACATAAAAAAATGTCTACGGATGAGTAAACTTGACACTTATTGTGTAAGTTTTCTTTGGTCATCACTTATTAAAGAAAATGCCATTCACTAAGCAACTCTTCTTTCTTGAACACACTCTTTCTAGCACAATCGTTATTACATGCTATCAGTTGAACTTGAAATAGCATAATTTCTTTAGGCCTTAAAAGGTGAAGAAAAAAAAAAAACCAAAAAGTGCGGCAAGGAGAGATCTACACAAAAATGAACTACAAAATGGCGTGAATATATAAAATATTACTAATTAACCCGATCAAATTGCAATTACCAGCGCCAGTTCCACCCTCACTACTGCAAGAACATGGCAAATGTAACATTCTTCCTATAATCATTTGCGAACTCAGAATCACTCTAACGAAACTGTATTTCCAGACTCGACCAGCAAGCATCAACGTACCACAAATACAAACTCGCCAACTTTGAATATTCAGAAAAAAGGGAAAAAAAAAAAAAAACAAAGCACTCGTTTTTTCAGACAGAAAAGAAGCGCGCATGGATCTACAGGGACATGCATTTTTCATATGACACGTAACGGTCGAAATTCAGACTTGGAAATTCTACAATTGAATTCAGCGGCAGTTGAACTGAAACCCTAGATTCCATCGGGATGCGAATCTAAGGAGCGATTTAACCGCAAAATTTTTATTTATTTGGAGCAGTAACGAATAGGGGGAAAGTAAAGTGACGAAATAAAATGAAAACGTAAAATTACCAAATTGGAGAGGAGAGTGTGAGTGTGTGTGGAATTTGAATCTGAGAAGAGCATATTCACCATGCACAGCACAGATGACCCGTCGCCTGTCAAGTTTTGTGCTCTTTTACTTCTCTGTTTCTGTTCTTTACCCAAACACACCTTGATCCCAAATCCCTAACTATAGTTGACTTTTTTTAACTATGGCTTTTTAATATCATTTACACATGAATATAAATAATAATAATAATTAAATCTTGAATTTTCAATCATAGCATTTATAGTATGTTTATTTTATATTAAATATTTAAATATAATTATAAATTAATTAAGATTTAGTTTAATTATATTTTTATCTCATGGCCCATTTTACAATAAATTTTTATAAATTTTATTATTAAGATTTAATCTTTAAAATATTAAAAAATTAAATTTAATCATTATCAATAATTTTCCCTTAATTAAATGTTAGTTGATAAAGATTTATTTTATGACAAACTACGTCATTTAGTTTGATAATATTTTATTATTTAAAATTAATGTTTATAAATAAATTTTTTATTATATTTTTTATATTTACAAAAAAGTCTTTTTTATTTTTCTTTTCTCTCTTCAGCTTGACACCCCAAGTCCATCCCTTTCTTTCTCTGTTGCATACTCTTTTTCTTCCCTTTGAAATATATTTATAAGTTTTAAAAAAGATGATTAAGAAAGATGAAACAGTCATTCAACACTTCTATTGTAACGTTCACAATGCTATAAACATATGAAGATGACAGCAGACTCTAGCAGACTTGAGAGAAGAATTGAGGAGCTCAGTACTTTTGTGAGACAGTTAGCTATTGCGCAACAAACTGCTTTTCAAGGAGGGATGATCATATACTGTCATATTTGTTCCTCTATAGAGCACAACTTAGATTATTGTCTTTTGCTGTAGAATGGTAGCACACAAGCTTCTATCCATGAAGTTTTTAGTGGAAGACAAGAGCAGTATAGAGCTTCGAATTTTCAACAAACTCAGAGACAACAACAAAAATACCAGTTCCAATACCAATCTCATAATTCTGCTTTCAATGATAATCCAAATATGAGATAAGGTGCCTCTGAGTAACAGCAACAACAAACTGGCCAAGCAAGTAACAATTAAAGATCACCCCCAATGAGGCAACAGCAAACGCAGCAAATTTTTGACCTTTTGTTGGATGATTTGGTCAAACAAATGGCCAAAAGCAATCTGCAGTTCCAACAGAATATAAATGCTTCCATCCAAGATTTGTAGACACAGATTGGTCAGCTTGCCACTACTGTAAACCAGTTCAAGTCTAAAGATTCTAGACAACTTTCCTCTCAACTAGAGGTTAACTCAAAGAATGTGAGTTTCATAATATTGAGGAGTAGGAAAGAGCTGTCGAACAACCAGAAAAATAAAGAAGTGCAAAATGATGAACAAACAGAGAAGCAACAAAACATAGAGCAACAAACTACTCCTAACAGTTCAAAAATTGTGCAGAAACCACCTCTCCCCTTTCCAAACTGAGTGCCCAAGGCAAAGCCACCAACAAACTTTGATAAGGAGCTTTTTGAGACATTCAGGAGAATAGAAGTGAACAATCCACTGCTAGATGCTATAAAACAAATTTCAAAGTACGCAAAGTTCCTTAAAGAATTGTGCACTAATAAGAGGAAGATGTCATTAAACATATTTTAGGTTTATATTTAGAATATTATTTTGATTTATAAACACTTTTAATGTGCTTTTTTTTTAGAGTTTTTACCATTTTCTAGTTATTTGAATAAATTGGGTTTGTTACAAATAAATACTTTAATTTTGTATGTTTTGATTATTCTGATCTCTGACTGCTGTTTTGGCCATAACTTTGTCTATAGATATATTTTTGACTTATTCTAGTTGTATTGGATTCTACATATCCAAGGCTTCAAAATGCATATATAGATCACTTGATTTGAAGTTGTTTTCAATTTTTTATGATTTTTTGAAATTGAGGCAGATTTGCTTAATATTATTGCACGATTGCATTTGGACCCTTATTTTTTAATAATTGTATTTGGGCTTTTAGATATTATTGAGACTCAAATTTTGGACATTTAATTTACCCTAATCAGAACCTTAAATATACTAATAAGTTCTGAATTAGGAGGGTGCGATTAGGCACTTTGAGCTTTTGTGATTTGGCCGAAATAAAAATCCTTGTTTTTACTTTCTTTAGAATTCTCTCATTCTCTTCTTATTCTTGTGTGGGTTAAGTGTTTCGATAGCTAAACCTCCCATTTAATTTGCAAAATCCAAACACTATAAATCTGATTTGAGTTCTAAGCCAAATTGCTCTGAGTTTGTTCTCTTTTTCTCCGATCTTAGATTTGTATATTGTGATCGTGATTAACTTTTCTGTGGTTATAATTCGAATTAAGATTCGATTTTTTTCTAATTTGATAATTAAGTCGGGTTAAGTCAAATGATAATTTAATTTAATCTATAATCTAGTTCAATTAGGTTATTTGATTGAATTAATAATTAAATTGGGTAAATGTTCAAATTTGAATTTAAATCTTTAAATACTATGATAATCGGGGTTAAACGCGTTTGGTATTCTATAAATTAATATTTCTTCATCTATTTTTACTCAATTTTATTCTATTCATAGTTTGATTTAATTAATTTATAGATTTCAAACCCCCAAAAGTTTAGTCGCATTCTTTAAAAGAAAATCTAAAATTGAATTTAATTAAAAAGGTGTCTCTGTGAATCGACCTAGGTTTAGCTTTATACTATAAAATTCTTAGATAACTTAATTGTTTTGATAGCAGCTCAGCATCGTCTATCAGTGGAGATTCAAAAGCTTCATGTCATGGTTAAGCTCGATTAGTATTTTAATTACATGGCATATATATATATATATATTACATGCTACTATATTATTATGCTAAAATGGAATTGATGAAATAAAATAAAGACAATTCCATGTGGTTATCGTGTTCTATATAAATAAATTGATGAAATAATAATTAGTGGAAGACCACACTAGTTATGTAAAATATTGTATGTACACGAGTGATATGGTTAATATGCTTACTGTATGAGTTAGTTTGTATGTTATCTTAAATATGTGTGTTGAAATTATTAAGTTAATTTTTATCTTGCTTCAATGGTGAGGAGAAAAGCTCATCCTTACTAATATTTTTAAGAAACTAAGATGACCAACTCTCATAGACCCATTAGGCTAACTGAGTGGAATGTATTTAGAGAGTAGATTAAATTATATATTTAGAGAATGACAACGAATTTGTCATTGTAAATTTGTAGTAGTCAATGTGAATGGATCTGAAGATGTATTCATCATAGAGATAACAATAGGGTATGATGTTCCTTTTGATTACCCTATTAATAATAGGATCCATCATGCTCTCAGCCTGTACATATACAGAGGGACAATGAGAACACTAGTTGCAGTAAATTATGTACATAATTTTCATGATCACGACCATCTTAGAAGACTAGTTAGATTCACTAAAGAGCAGATATCTGATATAGAAGTCACTGGTGACACGGGAGATCAATATGATGAAGACTTGACTCCAAAAAAGTTGGAGGATATAGAAGGTTGGTTCGATGAAGACTAGGGTGTCTTAGTATTTTGGTGTAGGATTGATTTGCACACTAAGACTTAGTGTATTTTGATTTTGTAAATTAAGTCCTAATGTATTTTAGATCAATATTTGTATATATGAACTTCTATATTTAAATGATAATACATACACATATTTTATTATTATTTTGATGTAAATTTATTTAGCAAGTCATGGTTTATCTTTTATCAATTTACATACTTTTGTATTTTCATGAATTGAATAATGAAAGAAAAGTTTTAAATTTTATCAAGTTTTCATATTATGAATACAAAGATATTCAGTGTTTTTTTTCTTTTTCCGTATATCTTCTTTCATAAATTTTATAAAGAAATTAAGGATGTTACGAGGTAGTTGTAATCAATACAAGGACAAGAAGTCCAAAAGTATCAGGCGAAATATTTATAATGAGCGAAGAGGAAGTTGCTCAAGCTACTCAACCTAATGATTTAATTCAAAGTTAGTGCATTATAAATAGATTTTCTCTTGAAGTACTGTTTGATTCTAATACCACCCATTCTTTTATTACCATGATTTAATAATATCTATCCCTACTTCTCATCCTGTACTAACTGTCCAAGCTTGTTTAAACTATTTTGTAATCATTGACAATACAAAATTTTTAGTAGACCTAATTTATTGACTTTTGATCTAATTGGACTTGATTCTTGAAATAATAAGTTTTCTTCTAATCAAATCCTTCTTAATTGTTCAAAGAAAGCAATTGCTTCTAAAAAATATAAAGGTTTTAGATTTCTAAATGCCATTCAAGTTATAGCTTTTGTTAAGAAAGAGTTCAAACAAAAATGATGATTGCTTCCTTAGATACTAAATGAAACTTAATACTCAATAAAATACTTGTAGTGAGGGAATTATTGAGATGTCTCTATTACTACTAATAGTTTTATCTCTAATTCTTGTATTTAAATTAAGTGATTTAAATATGGTAAGTAAAATGTAAAGGCAATTTTTTTTTCTAACACGCCATATTATTATTATTATTATTATTATTATTCATGTCAGGATGCATGAATTAGTTACAAACCTTTTAGATTTTCCTAAATTTTTCAAATATAATATATGAAACAGAAAATAAAGGTCTAGGTAGAAGTCTTTAAACACTTATAATGTATATACAAATCTAACAACTTGTCCTTTTGCTTACTCCTTTGGTCTATTAGAAGGAGGATTATCATGGAGGCCCAAATAAACTACGACGTGTAAGGATGGCAATAGGTAAGATATTATAGTACTCATCCTCATACCTGCCTTTTAAAAAAATACTCGTATCCAACCTATATTTGTGTGGGTAGTAATTTTAATCCTCATACCTGTACCTTTTAAGTACCCACATACCTATACCTGCCCCTATTACCTGTACTTGTCTAAAAAACACTTATAAAAAAATATGCTTATATAATTTTATATATCAACTTTCTAAACTAAAGTGCTTAAAAATCATAAACAAAATTTCAAACATAATTTTCAAGATCTTCTAAAACAACCAACTCATAAACTTTCTAAACGTTTTGCATGTGTC